GCCCCCCCCCCCCCCCCCCCTCTCAACTGAGAAACTGGCTTTAGATGATCGTGACGAGATGACCATTCTTTGTGCCATCTCATTTGTCTTTATGCATGTGTTTTCCATCAACAGAAAATCAGGATTCATCTTCCACAAAAGACGATATACCATTTACTTTGCGGGTTAGAACTGCTGTTGCAACGGCTCTTGGGGCAGCTGCAGCTCGAGCGAAATTACTGGCTGATCAGGAAGAAAGAGAGATTGAACATTTCGTGGCAACCATTATCGAGACTGAGGTGACTCATAGTTTTATGTATCCTTTTTTTCTTTTATTCCAGTTTGTGGAAAATTGGCTTCTCTTTGCTGTTTGTTGAAGAAGCTTGATGATTCCGAAATCCACGATGCTAATTTTTTTTTTTTTAATTTGGATAAATGTTTTTCTAGATGAAGAAATTGCACTGCAAAATCAAGTATTTTGAAGACCTGGAGGTGATTATGAAGAAGCAGCATGCTGAAATGGAGGAAATAGAAGACTTTCTTTTAGCCGAGCGAGTTGATGTGTTACAAACAGCAATTAAGGCTGGTATACCTAGATGGAAGAATTACTCTTCTGTAAAATCTTAGGATGCTTCTGTATTCTCAAATATTGGGCGACAAAAACAGACGACAATCTAGTGTGATGCGTTCTCTTTGTATTGTTTCTATTCTTGTGTATTAGCTGACAAATTACGGAGAATACCATGTGATAGTGTTTTTAAAATGATTCAGTTTTGAGACTGAAAAATAGAATGAGAATTCTTTGAGAATGGTGTTGGGATTATTTCTAAAATTGTGTTTGGTCAACCTTTTATGGGAAAATCAAGCGAATGGCTTTTTTTTATCATCTTTTTTAATAAATGGCTAAACTTTTTATTTTTCAAATAAATCACTGGAGTTTTTTATTTTAGCAAAATGGTTGTTTCTTGCGGCAGTCAATTAGTGATTGACCAGCAGTCAATTAATAATTGACTGATTCATTATTATAATTTATTAATAATTTATCATTAATAGACATGTAATTTGTTTGATTAAAATTGATTAATTTCTAACTAATATTAATTAATTATTAAATAAATTGATTAATAATGAAAATTATCGAGTTAATTAGTGAATGATCAATAAGTTAATCAGTGATTAACCACTAAAATAATAAAAAAAAACAACGATCATTTTGCTAATTTTATAAAAAACTTATACTATTTATTAAAAAAATTCATAAAAAGGGTCATTTACCTCTATATTCCTATGTTTCTTAGAGATTGTTTTAGGTATAAAAAAAAAGTAAATTTGTATTTTGATATGTTTTTAAAAAGGGTATCAAGTTATAACCTTAGGAAATGAAAACTAAAAATGAGAAAATAACTTTTAATTATTTTTATTGTCTTAATGAAATTCATTTGCTATATATATAATGAGGGATGAGGTACGAAATTTTAACTCTAACGCGTATCATGATATTCATTTTGGTTAAGAGATGGAACTTTATGTGGATCAAAATTGTAGCTCCCTCCCATTTGAGTTGTCGAGTAAAAAAAGGGTCTTGTGAGCCACCATCGGAATCTCCATCTTGTTCAAATAAAATGTTACGACTGATGTTCTAAAGACGAAAATAGAGACTCCAACGACCATGAAGCAGAGTCTCTTGGAAACCATCTCGATTTTTGAGGAGGGGGATTTTCGCATATAAGTTGAAAATAATAAAATATTTGGGTTAATTTGAGTTTGATGCATGTAATGACAAATACACCATCTCGAGGAGATCCGAAAAGATTTTAAAAGTGGATGATTTTTTTGCTTATACTTAGGAGATGTTTGGTTCATAAATTAAAATCATGTGATTAGAATTATTTTCGATTTACGTGTATTTTTTGTAAGAGAAAACACTGTAACAAACCACGAACTATGATTCAAATCATGGTTTGAATTATCTAACCAAACATTCCCTTAAGCACGTTTACTCTGCATCTAAGGGAGAGAAAAAGAGAGTGATGGGTGATTTCATTCTCCATCTAATAATGTATTTATTTACAGAATCATTAATGAGGATTTAATGTGTTAATGAGGATTTAATGTGCTCAACACAATATAAGAAATGAGAAAATAGAATGTTCATGTTGCATCCTCTTTAATATTGATTTCTTGTTAAAAAAAATAAACATTAAATTTACTTATTTACCTTTAATGAATTACTATATAGTCAATAATTATTGAATTATGTAAAATTACCTTTTAATAATTACATTGATAATAATGATGTTCCTAATTTTAGTAAAGACAAGATAGAGAGTGAGATTATTTTCCATTACACTTTTTCATAGTCAAGTAAACGCTCGAAAAGAAATCAATCTTTATTCCTATTAATTTACTTTTGTTTCCAATGTTATTACCATTCCCATAACATTTCTTTAGGATTTAGTAATTAACACGCCTGTGTCGTTCGTGGCCAAAAGTAGCTCCACTCGCTGTTTCATGAGGGCAATCACCTTCTTTAAATGAAAACTCTTTTCCCGTAATTTTTTTTTTTATAAAAAAATAATTTTATTGCAAGACATAGTCTATTGGTGGTATATTGTTAAGTTGTAGAGTTTAATTAATTGTCTAGATGATTTATTGTCTTACGTAAAGGATTAGCTGATCGACCTTCATGATAAGGTCACCGTGGGGGTTGGAAGGGGATGGGAAGCCCCCTCCGCTTCCCCTCCTAGGGGTGCGGGGCCAGAATCTCCTCATAAAAATTCAATAAGAGTAGTTTAGGGATTTCACACTTGTAAAATTTAGTTGCTCTAATTTCATAAAAAAGGAGGGCGCCAATTTTGGTGATCATCATAGAGGTAGAGAAAAACTACAAAGAGTTATGAGGTGTGCGATTTTTTTCTCGTTACTTTTTCTTGTCATAGTAAAAAAACTGCAGTAGTTAAAAGAGAATGTAATTTCAATTGAGCCAAATCTCTATAAATTTTGTATTGATTTTAGTTCATTTCTTTTATCGCGATTCTTAACATATGTGAAATACAAACGCAAGATTATATTAGAATCATATCATAGTTAGAAAAATAAGATAATCTAGCGAATTTGATTTTTTTTTAAACGGCTTAGGTCTATAATTGTAGCGCCCCTCTTTTGAGGCCGCCACTGTAACTAACTTTTTAATTTGTACTTACTGAAATTTCTTAAAATTTACGGAACATTTTTTTTTTTTAAAAGGTCTTATTATAAACATAAAATACGAAATTGCTTTCTTAATTAAAATATTCAAACCTTAACATATCTGTTTCATAATCATAATTAACAAAACTATTTGTAACATAAAGCTGATTGCGGAAATATTTGCGAGTGGTATCCATATCCCGAGCTCCACATCGTTCGTCCACTCGCCAGCAGTCCATCAGGCATTATATGCCGGTTGCTTACCTACAGTATAAACATTCTATAATGAGCTTTCGCTCAGCAAGTAGGAACCATCTCTCGTAAAATAACTGTAAGTTCACATGAATAAATATGCATGAGCCAATTATGCTTAATTATGATGTCTTATCAGAATCTTATTATCTTATCTTATCTTTCTTACTGATGGGCCCGAGTGCTCATACCACTTGCGCGCAATCATCGGGACGTGAGGGTTTGCAAGGTCCCCCATGACACCGTGATTATAACTTGAAT